ATGCTATGTTTAAATAGCCTGAAGGTGTATATGCTGCTCTTCTGCTAAAGTCCCTGTGGGCAACTCATACGTAAAAATAATAAATGCAATAAAATGTTATGACAAATTAAAGGTTAACACATGTTTTTACAATAAAAAATGTGTTATTCTTTAAAGAGCCACTGAACTCTTTCTTCTTTCTTTAAAAAAATCTTAACTTAAATTCACGGAAGTTCAAATGATGAAATCTAAAAGAATAATAAAGCACTTTATAAAATTATGAATCATATTAGGTAAGAATTGAACCTGAATTCATATAGAGGGCACTAACATCTCCCCTTGGTTACTGCATGCCTAACTTGGTTACTGCATGCCTAACATGTAGGCAATGACCTTCCATGACTGCCCTGGATTCTTCCTTGACGGAAGAGGAGATGTCAAGCAATGAGAAAAAGGATCCAGGGTACATGCTGTCAGCCGGTGCTCAGATCAGGACATGGAGGCTAAAGCAGAACCAGTCCCTGAGACATCTTCAGACTCTAGTTTCAATCTCTCATCTGTAATGTCTAAGCTCTCAGCAGTGCCGTTGCTGTCAACTTGTGAAGGAACAGAGGACTGAATGGTGGAAAAGTGCCAGATTGCAGGACTGACCTCCTTGGGGATCAGAACCATACAGGTAAGGAGTACTAGCTGAGCTGGAGAGGACCTGCTGCTGGGACCTTTAAAAGGCAGTACAGTATTAGAGGTAAAGGTGATTGGTTCAGTCTGTTTTGACCCCTGGGTTGGAACCTGAGACCAGTAACTCTTTTCTTAGGTATTTCAACCTTTGCCTAGACAACAGTTGCTCTTCTAGCCAACCCATCTTGTATCCAGTACTTAATCTTTCTTGGCTTTAGAATCACAGGCTTAAGTAAATCTTTGGCTGTAAGCATCTTGCTAGACTGATTTACTGACTCCCAACTTTAGCCAGACTCTTTTTTTTTTTTTTTGGAATAGAACATGGAACAGAACAAGACTGTGATTGGAGATTTGTAATTTAGTTTCCAAGCAGTACAAAATAAACACAATAAATGTTTTGAATGTGTAATTTGGTAGAATTTTATTGAAGAGAAGTAATTATCACTACTGGAACTGCACCCAAAATCTGATTTTGGGGGCCGCTGCAAAGATAGTCTTGTGTATCAGACTACAGGAAGTCCTCAGTTAAAAACCATAATTGGGACTGGCAACTCCGTCACTAAGTCGAGGTCACATGACATCTCGCTTAACAACCATGCATGATTCACTTAACGATTGTAACAGGATTTGCAGAAACTGCCATTGTAAATCAGCGTGGTCAGAGCAGAAATAAATATGAGAATGCTGACATCTTCAAAATCCTACAGAGTACAGGTCCTACAACCCTGTCTAAATATGACCATGCCAACTTATGATGGCAGTTCCCACAGGTCTGGTTGCAATTGTTAAGCGAATCATGCATGTGACTGCGACTTGTGACTTCCTGCTGGTTTCCCATTGACTTTCTTGTTGGAAGCTGGCAGTGAAGGTTGCAAATGGTGATAACATGCCTGTTGGATGCTGTGACCATAGTAATTGCATGCTGGTTGGCAAATGCCCAAATCACAATCATGTGACCGCAGGGACATTGCAACGGCCATAACTTTGAGGACCGATCATTAGTCTCCTCGTTCAGTGCTGTCATAACTTCAAATGGTCACTGAATGAGTGGTCACTAAATGAGGGCTACCTGTATAGATATAGCAGGCTATTATGAATGAGACTGTTCCCTCTGTCCCATCTCTGGAATTTTCAGTGTGAACTTAGATATCTGCATATAGACATGCAGACTCCTCAAAATATTCATCTACCCTTTCTGTTTATACCAGACGTTTCCTTTAATTGCAAAATGCCTGAATTGCCATTTATATGTAACTACTCCAATTCACACTGAAAGATCTAGAAACAGTTTTGGAAGGGCGTTGTGCTCAGGCCCTGGTTTTGCGTGACATGTGATATGTGTACCTTATTTACTTAATCAGTAGGTGAACATTTAAATAAGTTCGTGTGGAATACAGCACAAAGTACAGAGTATACAGTAGATTCCCAAGAATGCTTACAAAAACAAGATATTGCTAGCTATTGTTGTTCTGAGGATTTTTGTGAAATCTACAAACAGTTTTCTGATACTTTCACACTGAAAGCCTTCAGATTATTTGTCTCTAATCACTATATCATGCAATGTTCTCTACCTTTAAAATGGCTTGGTTTGCAATTACCTACCTATTTAGGAAAAGTTGACTGAAAACATTTCTGTTGAAACATGAAATGAAAGCAAATGCATGCTAAATAAAAATATTATCATGAGTGTAGTCCTTTTACATAATTTTTATGGATATAAAATGTATGGTTTCAGCATAATTTAAGGTGAGCTTTCTAGATGTGCCTGGATCTCAGCTATGTAATTAATCTTAGGTCTCTGATGATAGATCTTTTTTCAAGATAAACAGGGTGCCAGGATATTTTAGGATGTTCTACTGACATTTGTCACTCTATTCTTATGCTGGTAGAACCATAGACTTCCTTCCTTATTATTTGTTACAAAAGCCTCTCAGTTCCAAAAGACAGCAAAGTACAACAGATAAAATTAGGAGATAATAAGGAACTACCTGATCCATCCCCGTTAAGTATTGGGACTGTGTCTTCACTGAAGAAGTTCCCTTATGAACAACGTGGAAGTTGGTTACTTGTTTCCAATCCCATGTTTGTACAAAATATCAGTATAGAATTAAACATATCTCCATAATTAGGATACTCTGCTTTTTGACATAAATGATTGATTGATTAATCTATTATGTGCCATCAAGTCAGTATCAACTCTTGGTGACCATATAGATAGATTTTCTCCATGACTATCTGTCCCTAACGTGGTCTTTCTGGTCTTCCAACAGTGCTCCTATTGTACAACATTCACCTTGCTCTTGTCCTCTGCTCTTTCCTTCCACCTTTCCCAACACTGGAGCCTTCTTTAGAGAGCTAGGTCTTTGCATAATGTGTCCAAAGTAGGATAATTTGAGGCTGGTCATTTGTGCCTCTAGTGAGAACTGCTGATTTGTTCAATGATCCATTTGTTTGTTTTCTTGGCTGTCCACAGTATTCTCAGGAGTCTTCTCCAACACCAAAGTTCTAAAGTATCAATACTCTTCCTATTCTGCTTCTTCAAAGTCCAGACATAAATGATACTTTTTTTCTCTAATAATCTCAGAAGACAATTACAGTTAAAAATTTGAGGTGTCCTCAAATTATGCACCCATGTGTCCTTTGTCACATGGAACTGGATTACCTCTAGCAGAAAGTAAACTATGACTCAACAGGCCCATTTAATCTAAAAATAGGTAGCAAAGAATCAAGAACTGGGCTTCACCCTATTAAAATACTTTAATTTATCCCAGATAGTACGCCTACATTTAATGGAAATTATTCTTGTCCAGCACATATGGTTCCATGTATGTGTGGCACTATCAACTATGGTGCAACAGGTCAGTCTTAATTTAAAAAGGGAGAAAAAAACCAAGACCACCAATGGTTACACAAATTATGGCTTTGTGGAGTAATGCCTGAATCCAGGCTTTCAATAGCGGTGTTCATACAATATGCTAACTAAAAAGTGATTTGCTGGTTTATGGCTTGGTGTGAAGTATGACATTAGAACATAAGATCAGCCCTGTTAAATTAAACCAATGCTGTCTTAGTCCAACATTTTGTTTCTCACAGTGGCCAGTTAGATGCAGGATATAGTTAATATCCTCTTCCACCATTGATCCTCTGCAATGATCATCAAAGGCATGCTGTCTCTAATGAGGAAGTAATAATGAGTCATCAAGTTTAACAGCCTTTGAAAGTCTTCCTCCATAAATTTATTCAATACCCTTTTAAAGCCATTCAAATTAGTGACCATCTTCAAGTGCTGTGGTAACGAAGTTCACAGATTATGTGCAATGTGAGAAAGAGTTTGCCTTTGTCTTTAAAACTTACTTCCAATCACCTTCACTGGATAAATCCCAATCCTAATGTTCTGAGAAGTATTTTCTCCATCTACTTTCTCCTTGTCATGCATGATTTTATACACCTTGATCCTGTGATCCCTCAGTTGCTTTTTTTACTAAGCTAAAGAATACTAAATATTCAATTCTTTTCTCATAAAAAATATGTTTGGACCCCCTGATCATTTGCATTGACCTCTTTGACAGTTTTCCCTCTCGGTTTCCAGCTCTTTGTGAAATGTGACCAGAACTGTATGCACCATCCCAGATGTCTCATAGATTTATAGCAGGTTTTTTTTTAACCCCTCACATGAAATTTACCTGCCCTTCACCTGCCTTACACTGAGTTGACATCTTTACTGAGTTATCCTCTAGACCTCTAAATCTTTTTCCTAGTTAGGTACAGATAGCTTAGACTCCATCAGTGTATTACTTTTGATAGCAGGTTGAGCTGTGACAAAAGATGCAAGATCCAATTGATGAGACTTAAAGATGGCAAGATCCAATTAAATTCAATGCAGCTTAGTAATATAGAACGGTATGTAATTGTATTGCAAGTGATACTGCCTCCAGACGGAGAGAATCAATAGGATAATAAAGGGCCCTGCTGACCTGAGTATTTTTTGCAAATACAATTACAGTTACTGTCCTCTTTTCCTCTGCTGAGGAAAAACCAGGTTACATGTTTAGCTTTGCTTTCATCTCTGGGGCCAGGGTACCCATTTTTCGTGAAAGGAAAAAGATGTAAGAAAATATGTACTACCAGGTTCTCATGAAAGCTATGATTTTTATGGTCTTCAGTGACATGGACTCCCCTGTGGAGTCCTTGGGGTTCTCTGTGCTTGGTTCTTTTCTTGCAAACGTTTCATTACCTAGCTAGGTAAAATCTTCAGTGCTAAAATGGGATGGGGTTTGCTTTCTACTCCACTGTGGAGTTTTTCTTGATGTTTTTACTTTGGCTTGTGGGGGGTGGGGGGAAAGGGAGGGAAGTGGAAGGAAAGTGGCAGCCCTCCAGCATATTTAGCAGCTAGGAAGCCTGTAAAAACAGATCCACCCCCCCACCCCCTGACTATATGTTACCATTGTATGATAGTGACTGTAACTGATTGGAAAAAGCAATGATTGGGTTGCGTCTTATTGCAGAATAAATGTTTGTTGGGTTGCAGCTATTGCACTGCAGCCTGAGACCTTAATCAGAATGTGTAGAAAGCATGGTGTGACATTACTGGAGCCACTAGGCAACCAATGCAGTGCCGGTAAGTACCAATGTTCCTGGGGATGCCACCTATCCACTCTTTTCCTGTAAAGTGCCTTGATGAGACTTAAAATAGGTCTGTAAAATAAAACAGACTAACCAGCACTGTTTCAAAGTTAAGAGTTAATCTCCTTGAGCACCTCTGGCTCTTAGAAAGTATGGACAATGGATGGCTGAAGGCCAGCCCTTCACTGTCAAGTGTTCTTAGCTGCCAAGGAAGGAAGGGAGGCAGAGAGAGCTGTGATGGGGTTATGCATGTGGAGAGAAGGCAGGCTTTATGTACATCCAGGTTTTCTGAAAGGCTGAGTAGGAATGTATGGGAAAGAGAGGCCATGTTTGTGAGTTGATCCTGAAAGAAAAAGAAAAACGAATGACCGGGATGGATGGAATTGATAAGAGTTCCCAGAATGATCCCAGAGAAGAAAATGAAATATAAAATTGGAGTGGATTACATTTTAAAGCTCTCAGACTCCAGTTCTCTGTTTTTTTTTCAGGTTGAATTGCTTGAATTTTAACTTTATCAGTTTGCTTTTCTGTGGCTTCTGTTAAAATGGAAACCTGTGGATTCAAAAGAGTTGTTATTTCCAGCTGTTGCACAGACTTCCTTGCTCAGAAGCTGTATGTCCTCAGTTGAATCTCCTTCTCAAATCCCAGCAACTACAAAACAGCAGAGATGGGAAGTCTCCAACTTTTTAGCCAAACCAGCCTTCCAAGTCATCAAAGGGGCCTCAAACAAGCCACCTCCTACGCTTCCTCGGCGGAGTGAACTGCACTTGCAGGCCAGTCTGAGCAGTTTAGAAGGCTAATCATGGATGTCTTGATACTAGTGCTGCTATATGCTTTGAATGGTCCTCAGGTAGGGCTGGGGTGATTGGAGACAGGAAGGATAAATAACATCTTTGGTTTGCGTATTGTATCTTTTAAACTGGCTTCCAACTTCTATGGTACAACCATGAACAATAACTTTCAACTTTAGCCTGTTAAGGGAAGAAACTAGGGACTTTGATTCAGCTGAAATGGTAAACTAACCACAGAAAGAATGTCCACAGCTCTTAAATCAGAAAAATAAACTGAGTAACATTTTGATGTACCTTCCTTCTCCATACTGGTTTGAAATTAAACTTCCATTTTTCCCATTAATGTATCTTTTCTTTTTAGATAACCTGTGGAATGACCAGAATCTGGAAGCAGAGCTTGATCTTCCTTCAGGATGGAGGAAAATCCATGACTCTTCTGGTACTTACTACTGGCATGTGCCCACAGGCACCACCCAATGGCAACACCCCTCTTGCACTTCTGGTCTGGGTCATGCTGGGGAAGCTGCATTTCCAGAAACGGTATCTCTTTGACATATTATCAGTCCTATTATTGTAAACTGTATCATCCTCACACTCTGATTGGATTCACAGCGCATGTGATTTACTTGGGTTGGCACTAGTGTATTGGGTAATCCTAGATGTTGTGGTTTGTAAATTATGACTTATTGCTTAATGTTATATGTGAACCCAACCATTTTCACTTATTTAATAAACCATTAAAACAAACAATAGTTTAGGGCAATGTGTACATCCACTCTTGCCCGCCAAATGAGGACTGATTCCACTATAATTTTGACCACTAGATTTTTCTTTATGTGTGTCAATAAATGCAAAGATAAATCTTTTATAGTGGATAGAAATTTGGAATCTTGTGGAAAATAACAAGTTAATTCAGCTCTCCTAACACTATTTGCAATAGTTCTGCATGATCTTCTTGTTTTTTTCTAAAGAGAAAGAGATTTTCAAAGCTGACACCAAAATCATCTACCATCCTGAGGGCATGACCTGAGTAGAACAACTCAGTCACAGTTCAAAAAATGTTCAAAAGAAATAGCATAAGTATTTTAATTTCATTTGACTATATTTGTTTTGGCCCATTACATTTCCTGTTATGATGCAGTTCCCATTATTTTCTATGGACTGTCTTGTCTTTGTTTTAGAAAGTTCCACTGTTGGTAGGTCGAGCACTTCCAATAATCTTTGGTACAAATGACCAGAGTGAGACTGCAATCTTATGCATAATTACCAGGAAATAAGTCTTATTGAACTCAGGTGTATATTATTCATTAGACATCTGTAGGATTGGCCCTTTGAAGGGTCTTTCTTCTTCAGTAAGTTTGAACCCTCTACCTTATTTATAGGGTGGAAGTAAGAACAGCCCATAGAAAGTAATGGAGACATCCTGGATTTTAACATCCCTATCAACTGGCAAAAGCATATTTTATCCCATTCAGTCCAGCAAAGTTTAGCATTTTTGCTATTATCATCCACAGAAAATATGAAATTCCCAATTCTGTGACTTCCATAAACTAATGAAGATTTGAGAGCTGTTTTAATATTCTGAACAGTCCTATCTATAGTTCTATATCCAGTCTAGGGCCTCTTTGAATATATAACTTTGGCTATCCTTAACAGGTTTTGATTCTTAATGAGTAATATGTCCTTATTAAAAAGGTGGTTCAGTTTGTCTTACAGAGAAAGCTAGTGGAGAGTGTGTGTGCATTACTGTAAAAATGTGGGCAGGAGACCCCCCCCCCCACGTTTTGTATGCCCTGTTCCTTATAAATATATATACAGTATTTATCTATATGCTGAGTCAGACCATCCATCTAGGTAGATCAGTACTACCTAGACTTCTTCGCTGAGACTTCAGAGTCTCAGGAAAACTGTCTACCATCTGTTGCTTCCTTTGGTCTATGGTTATCTGCAATGCAGATTGGTCTGGAGGGGATAGACTAAGTTGTGGCTTAGGGAGAATTGGATGATCAGTATAATCGTCACATAATATTCTGTTCAGATGAGCCCTAAAATAGTGTCATAATATTTTTCCTGCCAAAGGAATTATCAGGAGAACCAGTGTGATGTGGTAACTAAGATGTTGGGCTGGGTGGCTACTTCACAGGGTAGTTGTGAGGAAAACTGGAGGAGAGCTGTCTTGAAGAGTGGGACATTACTCTCACAAACAAACAAAGAAACAAACTTGAGCTTATTTTCTGATCTTATGCAGGACCTTCAATCTGCTATGGTGAGATGTGTGCCAACGGAGAGATTTATCCCAAGTCCGATGGCTTCATCTTCCAAGAGGTAGGCTTGTTAATGCAAGCCACTTGATGTAAGCTGCTAGGTACACTGAATCTCAGTGAAAGAGATGGAGTACCTGCACATAGTCACTTTCTCCTCTGATGATCTCACAAGTAACACAGATCATCTGCTCAGATGCCCACGGAAGCACTTATACTTTCTTTCCACAATTCTTTGTTCAGTCTTTTTCTTGATTAAAAATGATGTTCTTCTGTTCCTATTCAAGTAGATGTTTATTGCTGTTCTAGATCAGAAGAGAAAGCATTTGGGGTACAAAATCTATCTGTCTGTCTCCTGCAATAAATCTTTGGCCACATCCAGTACAAGTGCTGGTTACCATTTTGAATTAAATGGAATGGCATGCTAAATATTTGAATTTGCCTCTAATTTGTTCTGAGAATGAACAGAAGCGTGGCTCACTTATCTGAGAATTCCTGTATTGGCACTTTGCCTGTTCTACTTGTTCCAGGACATCACTGGCCTGGCATGAGGAGGATCTTCATCAGGGCAACCCAGAGCCTGGCTCCAAGGTACTGTCTGGGGTGGTGGGGGACACAGGGGTATGCAGCTCAGCTGCTTGACTGAGGAAAAACCTTTCTCTGGAATAAATGGAATGAGTTCAGTATTGTCCTTGCTTATAAAATTCATAGATTTGCTCTTCTTTGAACTTGCCATAAAATGCCAAAGTCAAGCTAATCTTTATAAGCTCAAAGAACTCTCATTTTAGAGAGTTTAGAGCAAGATTATATTATCTTTTGTATCGTTCTGCTAATGGAATCTCAATTCTGCATTTTATAGTGCGTCCTTAATATCCCTTACAGCACACTCATGTAGGTACTGTGCATAACCAATCAAAAGTAGGTCAGTGGGACATGTTGCTAGATAAGTTTAGAATGGCAACCTTCTTAACAAGTTTTGACAAGTCTTTGTTCATATAAAAGACTATGTAAAAGAGAGAGTATATAAAATAAATACTACAAACTAACTTCTTAAATTACTAAAAGATAAAAACATGCCCCAGAAAATATGGCAGAAATGAACAGATTTTACTTTAATGTAAAGCATATAAAAACTGCAAATACCATCTTGGAAGAGGTATTAATTCTGTTTCACACATTAAAGGAGTCCCTTTTCTAAAATGATGATTGTTACAGTACAGGTAGTCCTTGTTTAGCGACTGTCTCGTATGGTGACCGTTTGCAGTTACAACAGTGATGAAATAGTAACTTTGCGACTAATCCTCTTATTTACAACCTTCACAGGTCTGTAAAGCAAAAGGAAGCTGAAGAAAGTTCATAAGCACAGTCGCAGTTTCACTTCGTGACTGCTTTGCTAACAAATGAGTTGCTGGTCCCAGTTGCATTCTTTTTTAAATCAAAACTATTATTTTAGTCATATAAAATTGTATATGTATATGTATATGTATATGTATATGTTTATGTATACACACACATGCATTTTAAATATTTTCCCTAAGATGTAATTTATTTATTTTTTAATTAAATTAATTACCTTTTAAAAGGTAATTAATT